AAGGTCTCACAGTTACAGTACATCTGCTATGAAAGTACAAACAATGGGGAATTTATAGCAGTGGAAATCATAGTCAACATAAATTGTTCAATTTCAGAAATGAGTAGGGAGAGGTTCATGGATTTTACCAAGAAACACAGAATTGCTTGGCATAGGTTGAACTTGTATCAAATTAATCAGAATTACAAAGACTAAAATCTGTGGAAGTTTGTCTCTTCCATCACTTACAGGAATTAGCATCCATTCTGTGAGTTTCTTACTTCTTGGTAAGAATATTTATCATGTGCATATTAAAGCTTAACAAACTTTAAATATACATAAATTAATATATTTGATTTGCAAAAATATATTCCTCCTGAAATTCTACCTTGGCCTGTAATCATGGCTGAGGTAGCAGTGTATTTGGGGGAGCCTGGGCAGGGGATCAGCTCACTTTTGTGTCACAGTATAATTACCAATGACTTCATGCTGATCCTCCGCCCAGCTGGGTGGGTGAGTTGGATTTGAAATTTTAATTTCACCACTTTGAATTGATTATGTGATGAATGAGATTTTTTGGAGATGTGACGAGCTGTGAGGTCTGAGATTTTGTATATCAAATTGCAGACCCTTGGTTTGAAAACTCAGGTGTTGGTTTATGGGTTTATACCTCATACATCCAAAACTCTTTCATGGAACTACATCCTAAGTCGTTCCTTAGTTAGGAATTCCAATCTATTTTGTTCAGATTTGTGTGTATGTTGTTATTACATCCTTGGAAATACCAACCAGGGCTTAAAAGCTGTTGTTTAATCCCAACAGCTCTTAAGCAGATACGGGGGGGGCCGCCGCCGGCCCTCCGGTTTTGCGTTGGTGAGAAAACCTCTCACCATCCACAACCGGCTGGTCTTGGCTTTGCCTGGATGGGCTGGGTGGTATTTTAAAAAGATCTGTGATAAATCAAAGACTTGCGAGTCCTGAGTGATGACTTCCGTTTCTCTACTTGCGCGCGGGTGGGAGCGTTTAATTTTCAGATGAAATTTTCAACTTGACTATTGGGCTACTTCCCACTTGCTCCACCCGCTACAAGCATATGAGAAACTTCCACATCTGTACGTCATCTCTCAGTCATGGACTTATGCGCCAAGTCGTCCCTTGGTTGGTGCTCACAATCTAAAAATGTGGGGGTTTTGGATCAGGCAGCCCAGTAAAATGAAAAAAGATGGAGCTGCATATTTGTAAAGATTGTGAGGTGGATGTGAGGTGTGCCACTCCTTTATTATTCAACAGTAGAAAAAATCCAGCAATAGCTTGGATCATTTGCTATGGTAGCAACATAAGCTAGACAATGTACACCCTTGTAATGCAAGAAGAATCATGGTACAAAATCAGTTGTCATGTTCCACAATTGTAGCATTGACTGAGAGGGTGAGATTGTCCATTGAACTTGGGCAAGCTCCAAGTGAGTGTAGACGGATCATCAGCCAGAGCCCAAAGTTTGAAAAATATAGTCACATTTTGAACCACAGAAGTTGAACATTACCAAATATGAAAAACATGTTGCATTAAGATTCTGATGCTCGCATGCATGGGCATAGAGAGGAGGACAGGGCCAATGTTTGGGGGGCTTCTTTTGGTACATCAAGACTCAGCCATTGATTATTGGGATGATTCATGATATGTTTAATCTAGTGGTTAATATTGCACCTTTCAAAAGTAAAGTTCCCATGGGTTTGTGACTCCAGGAACAATGAATATGGTGATAAAGCAGGTGATATGTCTCGTGAGGTATTCAAAACCTCACAGGTACTCTCTGGATTAAATAATACAAATACAAAACTCATGCATTGTGGAAATCAAATCCTAAAACCACTCAAATTATTCTAATACATTTTTTGTTATATTCTTATTTTTGTATCAAGGGATTAGATATACACTTTGGCTTTTTTTCCAGGCTTTTCTGGAACTCTTCTGATCATGAGGATCTGTTGTTATCAATACAAAAAAAAAATTATTTCTCAAAGCAAAATGAAATACACCAAGAATAAATACATGTGGAACAAACTCAAATTAATAAACAAAGGTAAGATAATAGGAATCAACCACAACACATGTTCACTCAAGGTCTGGAATTGAAACCCAATGTGAATAATCACTGGAAATAACAATATAGTGTGGAAGGAACAGGAAGCCACAATAGAAAATGTGTAGAATAACTCAGCTAATGGTAGAAAACTAAAAAACTAAATACATCAAATGCAGTCAAACTCAAAATCAAAAGCTAGGTACTAATTCTAGAAGCCAAGACAGAAGAGTGGAGAAAGAGGCAAGATGATGTCAGTATGACTGTAGAAGAGAGGAAGAATGTATAGATTAGGAAGAGAAAGAGAAAAACTTATCTAGTTAATCAAGACTCAGGATCAACAATTGATTTGGACTTGAGTTGGTGATGGATTTAGAAAAGATACTGAGATTGGTGGAGGGAAACTACAGTAAAAGGGACTGGCCTATAAATGAAATGAATCAAAGTAAAATGAAAAAGTTTACTCAGTTAGCATTGAGAGAGTTGAAATAAAAGAATGAAAGCAAATAAATCAAGGATATAAAAAATTACCTGATAAATGAAAACTAAGTGATCCAATGAATCATAATCCAAAATCAGATTTGCAATACAGATGTTTGAAGCAAAGAAGAGAGAGTGTAGAAAAGTGAAGATATGATCAGTATGAACAGATCAAAAGAAAGCAAACACATATGATTGAGTACTTACACTACACCAAATGTAATCTTTACCGGGCGGTAAAGAAAACTACTGACATAGAAAAGTCCTGAGGCAACAGGAAGAGAGCTAAAAATCTGAAAAAATATGCACCTTGTTCCTAGATGTTGGGGCGTCATGATGAGTATTTTTTTGTATTTTACACACAGATAGTGGTTAATGTACTAACAATAAAGGCTGAAAATCATCAAAAACCCACATGTAACAATACCTGAAATTTGGGTCATGATTATGAAGACAATATTTTGTGGTCTAAAAACTTCAATAACTTTTGCAATTCTGCTCCAAATAACTCGATTTTTGGTTCATTCAAAAGCTGAACCATTCTACTTTACACTTCATAATGTCAGCAAGGTGCTATCTAGTCATTTGAACGCTCTACATATGTCCAAACAGTTCTGCATGAATAGCTCCGTAGGACCTTCTTCAGACGGGCTACAGATGTGGTGTCTCAATGAAAAATGTAGAGGAAAGACTCACCTTTTCAATGAACCAAAAATCGAGTTATTTGATTCAGAACTGCAAAAGTTATTGATGTTTGAAGATTTCAAAATCCTGTCTACAAAATCAAGGGCCAAATTTCAGGTATTGTTACAGGTGGGTTTTTGATGATTTTCAGCCTTTATTGTTAGTACATTAACCAATATCTGCGTATAAAATACAAAAAAATACTCATCATGACGCCCCAACATCTAGGAACAAGGTGCATATTTTTTCAGATTTTTAGCTCTCTTCCTGTTGCCTCAGGACTTTTCTATGTCAGTAGTTTTCTTTACCACCCGGTAAAGATTACATTTGGTGTAGTGTTACTTGCTTGGAAACACCATCATCAATTGATCAAGCACCAAAATCGAAATGAAATATGGCTTATAGATTGGAATGAAATTGAAGTGATAAACTACTGAAGGAGTTCGATTTCTGGGTACCAAGGGGATGTAGATTAAGAGATTAGTATGCATGGAAGACACAGACCATAAGAAACAAAAGAAAATGAACTATTCAACAGAAGGAAAACAAACCATTCAAATGGCCAAAATCAAATTTGCACAAATAGATCCAGTAACTAAATGAGAAAGCCAAGAAAAGTGAGGAGTTAGTGGAATGAATAAAGAAGCAACAAAAAAGGAGATGAATTACCAAAATCGAAATTGAAATTGATTGCTCAGTTGATTGAACAGTCAAAAGCGAAATAAAAAATAAAAAATATCACCTAATGAAAAGATAGATATCATGGAGAGATATAGTGAGGAAGAAATGGATGAATTAGTGAGACTGCTTGAAACCCTTCAAGGTTGGAAGTGATATGGAAATCAAATCATCGATTCAGACTCACCTAGGCAGAGAGTTACAGGTTGAAATAGCAAGTATAGAACAAAAGGAATGAAGGGATGAGGTCATTTGATTCCTCAAAGTGCTCAAATAGAATGAAGCTACCTGCCAAAGAAGCTGAAAATCGAAAATCGAATTTGAGAATCTAGGACCAAAAAGGTTAAGCAATAGATTGTTATCAGTGTACAAGAAATAGACGACAGAAGGAGGAGGAGAGTTGAAACTTGACAATGGATCTAAAAATCGATTTTTTTGGCTTTGAGAGTCGATGACTGATGAATGCAGAATAAGATGAAAGGAGATCAGCATGGTGGAAGCAAATAGAAGAAATAAAAGAAAAGAAAAGATGGAGGAAAAGAGAGGGACTTACAGGCTGGAACTCGATTGAATCGAGTCAGAGGCTTGATCTGAGCTTTTGAAACAACCTGAATGATGGAGAAATGAAAAACTGTTAACGAATGTCCAAAACCTTGGCTGATCAAAACTTCCCAATGCTAAATCAAAATTTGGAGGTTGTGTAGCGTTTTGTTCAAATTCATTGTTCTCTGTTGATATGAATGAATGATGATGTTGATGATGATCTGCAAAGAGTGTCGAGGTTAAGATAATCAATCAGCAGTGAGATAGATGGTATTGTCTTTGGCTGATTGATAGTGTGAGAATGATATTGAGAAGGGTGTTAATCGATAGATCTTGAAGTCGGAAATCAGTTCAAAAGTGTGCAATTGAGATGGTATTGGGCAGGATATGAATTTGAGTTTTCGCAAACTCGATTGGGTGTAATCAATGAAGGAATCTTGACATGGAATGGAGTGAACAGGCAAAAAGCACGAATTTCAAGGCTTGATCATGGCACTGGTACATGATGAATGATTAGTTTAACTTTCTCTGATCTCTTAATTTTGTGACTTTCTTATTGAAGTTCTATTAACAAACAATTCAAATTGAGTTTCTGATTTGAGGATGTCCAATTTGCATCATTTGTGAATATCTCAGTTTGAACCGCTGGTATCTTCTTTATAAAGCCTTTTGCTGTGGTATTAAGCTGCACGAAATCAAAGGTGAGATGTAACTTTGGTTAGAAAATTGGAATTGCAAATGGAGGAACCACAAATGAAGCTGCTAATTCTCACCAAATGGTTTCTGATCACTCATGTGTAAAAATCACAAATGGCGCTAATGGTCCAATCTGAAGTTTCTACTTGATGATTAGATGGCCACAGATTGATTGATTGCGACCAAATCCTGATGTGATCCTTTGATGTATGATCATCGAGGTAAGTGTTAGGAGCAATAATAAGGAAATTGAAAGTAATTATCCCGAGGACAAAACTTCGGGTGGTCAAAACCAGGATTCCTTCTGCTAAAAAGTGGAGGATTTGTAGATTTTGTGTTAATTTGTCTATTTTGTTTGAATTGCTGGTTGACGTTTAATATGAATGATATGCGTTCATCATATCTGCGCCTAGGATGACTTCGACGCGCCTAGCGTTCATAATGACGACAAAGTCTATCATGAGTATACCTGGGTCTGATTCGTGAAGGAACTGGATTGGTAAAGTGATCTCTCCAACTGCTGTCAGGATTCCTGATGCGCTAAAATACTTTCTTTTGTGCTTAAGTGGTTTCACTTCTCTTTCCCAGTGAAACCAGATTTTGTTAAGAATCCGTGGCGTAATGAGTGAATTACAAGCGCCGGTATCTACTAGCATATTCATTTTCCACCCGTTGCACATCGTCGTCAAAAATGGGCTCGCTAAGTTAGTTTGTTTGTTTTGTCTTTCGATAAAGACAGGTGCTTTTGCTAAAGACCTTTCAAGACAAGAAATATCTAATATTTTGAAAGATTCCTCTACCTTGGACACGTCTGAGCTTGTTGAGCATTCATCTTGTACCGCCCTATACTCTCCGTCATCGTATAGAGAATCATGGTCATGTGCAAAGATAAGTTCTAATTCTTCACCAGTTAATGATTCTTCTTCGTCTGGATCCTTCTCTAGGGTGTTGATATCCTTGCTTTTCTTCCTACACAGCCTAAAGTCATGGCCTGTCTCCGTGGATCCACAGGTGTCACATTTACCTGGTACTCTTATCACTGACTGCTTAGGAGTGATCATTTTTGTCGGTGGGGTACTGCCGTTCGTGGCTTGCGTTTTCCACTCTTGGGTGTTCTTGTGAGCAGGTCTCTGGTATTTTCCTATCGAAGTCCTGCTGACTACCTCCTCAAACGTGGTCGTGAAGCTTACAAAATCTTCCTCTCGTCCTAATCTGCTTCTTACGGCATGATCTAGGTCTCCTGCGCACTGCTCCAATATTTTATCTATGACATCTAATTTAGATATTAAAGGTTGGGCTGCTCGAAGTCTTTTGTGTTGCTTAACCAGCGATTTAACTGGTTCCGTACTCGTTTTGGGATTGAAGAAATCCTTGTCGAATGCTGTTTGCATAGTTCTCCTCCACACTCGAGTTCCAAATTTTTCCATAATCGCCAATTTCCAATCTTCCCAGGAAAGTGATTTCTCTTTACGATTCTCTAGAAACCATATCTGAGCAATACCTGTAAAAGCTAGACCCATACGTGAAGTAATAAGGGCGTCTGGAACGTGCATGGTTTCTTTAAAATGATCCACCCACTCTATGAAAGCTATGTGATTATATTCCCCTTCCCCACTAAACTTAGGCCAGTCTTTACTATTTGGCACATCTTTCTTCAGAAGGTTGTACATAGTAAGTTCTGATTCTGGTGTGAATTCAGTTCGTGTGGTTTGTTCTCGAGTCTGATGTTTACTGACTCCCTCAGCAACAATAGGCGCTTCTGTCTGGTGACTGTGTTTGACATCCGCCGGTGATGTCAATCCTTTAGCTTTGAACGTATTTGTCTCAAACTGACTCTTACTTCTAGCTTGGTGCATGTGTGGTGGGACATCGTGCAGAATGTCCTCAAAAGGTCCATTCTCTACATTCTCGTACGAACCTTGCTTTTTCAGCTGTTCGAACGTTAGGTTGGAAAGAAGTTTGATGACTTCTTCATTATGAGAGCTCATGACCAGCAACTCTTCTCCTTGGCGATGGATCATGTTCTGGAGTTGCCTCATAACTCCCTGCATGCTAGATATCTGGTCGCATGTTCTTTTATTATACGGGTCTTCGACTGTTCTGTCACTACTTGTTAGGAGGTTTTCGTTAACCTTGTTGATTAGGTCTCGAGTGATCTTGGAGTGCTCATCTAGATTATCTTTGTTATCTTTAATAATTTGCATTCGAGTAACATTCTCACTTTCCTCTACTACTTGTAGTACTGTTTTAGTCCAGTTCTGCAGTTCTTCCTTGACACCTGCTACATCATTTGTAGATGTTTGCACTGCTATACCTACCTGGTTAAGCGTCTTTACTTGGCTGTTTACGTTATTGATAAGGTTCGTGATGGTCTTATCAATAATATTCAAACGTCTGTTCGCATCGTTAGTTTTAACGAGTGACTGTATGGTATTCATTTCATCATGCAACATTTTCAAGCTAGTAATAATAGGATCAAGATACAACTGAAATTGGTGAAACATAGGTTTAACAAGCTTTTCATCTAAGGGTAGGATGGTCCTCTCGCATTCTTCACTGCCATTCCTGCTGCTTGAATGATTCCTATGATCTCGTCGCCCACTGTCTTTCCTTGGTGGCGTGAGGATTGGCTCGGTCGTGGGTAAGGAGTCGACTGGGTGAATTTCTTTCCCCTTTCTCGTCTTTCTAAAGTACTCCAATCCCAGTCTGATGGGTTCCAACGGTTGGTCCGGTCCATCAGACATTGGTAACCTAACATTTTCAGCAGTTGGCGATAATAACCTTTCGCTTTGATGGTGGCTTTCTTGAACGCTTTGTGATCTTTCGCTTTTCTGGCTTTGTTCCATACTTGGTAGTTCGCTTCGTACATCAGTAGGAGGTCGTGTTCCTCTATCGTCAGGTCGCGTCCTGGACCTTTTAGATGCAGTTGTCGAGTTGCTTGGTTTTCTGCTCCCGATTGCTGGCTGGGTTGATCGTCTAAGATCATCGCCAAATGCGTCGATGGATCCTGCGATACTCTGCGCTCTGGAGGAGTTTGCTCTGGTGCTGGGTGCCATAATGTGAGTTTTCAAACGGACTCTCGCTTTTATATTTTTTTTTTTTTTTTTTTGAAGAGAGACTAACCTTTGGTTGGTCCTGCTGTCTTAGGAATTGTAAATTTAGACAATTCTTGGTATTGTTTGTTCGATGGGGTCGAATTACCTACTGTTGTTGGAACAGTTTCAGTGGTTTTGTCTTGATCGTCTCCTAACGTAGTCACTACAGAGAGGTTTCTCAGTATGTCAGCTGGTATCGTTGAACTAGATTATACTGATCAGTACTGACTTCCTGCTTCTTCGTAGTCGATCAAGTCTTCTCCTGGGTTATACGGTGCTACTGGTGCGACTTGTTCGATAGGCACTTAGATCAAGGCGCGGTGTAACCAGGTTATAGTCAGCTTTATTCGTTCTCGGTTCTGTTTTCAATGTATAAGTTGGTCTCAACTTACTGTTATTTCAAGCGATTGTTAGATTTCTCAGTAAGACTCTCTCTCGATGTTATCGTGAAACAAGTAATCTGTGGGTGCTTGAGATAGATAGTCGCTGAACCGAACGTAAGTATGAAAAGGATTCAAGATATGTATCCCGAACTGTGCGTCGTAAACTTCTTCAGTGAAAGGGTTTTCTTGTGTGAAAGAATAAAACGGTAGTTCCAGGAATAGTTCCAAGGTACAGTAATCTACTCGTCCGATAGCAATGATGAAATATGCTAATGTAAGTAAAAGAGAACTTTGTATGAGTCTGCTAGTTTGTATGGGAAAGGTGTCGAGGTCTGTGTTTTCGTTTTAAAAAAAAAACAAAAACTTAGAAAAAACGATGAGTCCCCCAAATGTCAGCCTAAGTCGTAAAAGTTGTCAGGCTTAGGTGAATGATTACTCACGAAATGTGTTTTGTGCTAGGAATAACAATGAATAAACCTTTGCACTTATTTTCAAGTCTTCGTGATGGATAAGTTGTGTCTAAGTCTAGCGTAAGTTTTAACTGATCTGTGTTCTTAAAGGTATCAACAGATAGTTCTACCAAAGTGGATACCGTGAGGTAAACTAGCTTTGGGCGTGCTTGAGCAGTAGTCCGATAAAACTTGGTTTTATCGAGGGTAAGGAGTAAGTATGGAAGAGTTAGTCGAGTAGGCAGTACTACACGATCTTTAACAATTCCGTAAGTAGATGAAAGTTTAAAAGTATAACAGGGAAAATGAAACGAAAACAAGAGTACTGAGTCTAGAACGAAAAGAGTCTAAAGGATATTTCTAAAGAGGCCTTTCGTAGATAGTAATTGTAGCTTTCGAGAAATCAGAAATAGTACGGGTCTTAGTATGTAAACGTAAGTTGTCTAGATTCTAATTGGGGTAAAAGTTGTGTAAAAGTGTTAACGGATGATTCTCTTTTTCTTGGAGCATTGAGAGAGCTCTTTTTATATCCGAGTTTTGCTTGGTGGTAGTTAGTCGTGACTAGACTGGTCTCGAACTGATCTAGTTGTTGGGGTTCGTTGCTCCCTTGGTATTCTGATGATGTGTTTTAATTAAGGGTTAGTTTCTAGGGTCTTTAGATGATATCATTATTTCTAAGACCCTTACTTTCCCTTTTCTCGTTTTTTTCCAATTGTTGTCTTTTTCTTTTATGATTTGTACACTCTTGAAACTAGAGTGATAGAGTTGTAGGTTTTAAATATTTATTATGTGTTATTTTTGTCGATACGCTCGGGGTTCTGCTCCGCAGAACTCTCGCGGTTGACAGTCGTAGTGCTCATACTTCCACGTTCAAGAATGTCATCAGTATCAAATTGACCGATGATATGGATATAAATGAATACTTTAGAGTGATCAGGTCAAAATTTAGTGATATGAAGCGTGCTGGTTTTGTCTGGAATGAGGACTCTGTTATGGGAATGATTTTTCAAACTGGCGTGCCTACTGATTATACCAACATCAACATAACCCTCAATGCTAGACTCCGCACCAATCCGGCCACGACTATATCTGCTAAAGAAGTTGAAGAAGCGATCCGGGCTGAGAAACACAACAAGCCGGACGATCTTCTCGTGAATCAACTGACCCTAAATGATACCGATCAACATTCACCGTTGAACATCAACGCTGTCTCTCGTCAACAACGCTTACCTACACCACGTTTTTTACCTCCGCCTCAAAATGTACAACGTCCAACGAACCAACCTAGCTATCGTCAACGTACCGGCCCAAACTATAGACCACCCGCCCCGCAAAATCGAGAACCTCGTGCTTACTCTAACAACAACATGACTACGACCATGCCTCGTATTACCAACGCGCCGCCTGGTACCCAAATCAATTATCACCCCGGACCAAAACTCACACCTTACAACCAATGTCTAGCTTGTGGAAACACGGGACACTGGGTACGGGGTTGTCCATTGTATCGTGGCGGATCTGGTAGCTCCAGGAACCAAGGACTTCGAATGAATCTTGTTAATGCCAATGATAACGAGTTCGTTGCGGAGCCTGACGGTACTTATCCTTCGGATGCTGAACCTACTGGTGTCGATGAGCAACCAGATGGCATATGGGCCTCTGAGAGTCATCTGACCAAGGAATGGGACAACCCGGATGAAGGAGTGAGTGACACTGGTGCCACCCACATGATCACAGGAGACCTTAGTCGGTTAACTGATGTTCATATCCTATCTAGACCGATTCCAATCTCCGTGGCAACGAAGAGCAATAGAGCATTTGTTACTGCGAAAGGCACTCTTCATATTTGTGCAGATGATGGGTCATCCATCCCGATCAAGAACACATACTACTCTCCGGCAGCACAACGTACACTTATCTCAATTCCCGAAATTGTTGAATCTGGAGGATCTTGGATGGGAGGCAACGGTGGAATGCGGCTGAAATTCCCTTGTGGAAGGACGGCGAGTGCTGTGTATAAGAACCGGAAATGGGTGTTTTGTGTAATGCAGGCGAAAGCTATATGTCTGACAAAACCGGACATTTGTCCAAATGTGCCTCCTCGTGAGAATCATACCCATTCTTTGCTGCGAACTCCTTCTGCTACTCTTTCTCCGTCCCCTTTTCCTGCTTCTTCTTTTCCCCGCCCTCGCCCTACCAACATCATCAGAACTCCTTACCACACATCCCAATCTATTCATAAAACGAATTTCTCCTGCTCACCAAATTCATCTGTCTCTACCCCCATCGTCTCTAACAAAATAGCGACAAGTAACACTATCATTGGTGCTCCTCCGGCTCAAAATGAGGCTCTTATGTGGCATTGCCGCTTTGGTCATACAAGCATGCGTAATATTCGCAAGATGATGAAGCATGGTACCGCTACTGGCCTTCCCACCTCCATTCTAAACACTCCCTTTTCTTGTCTCGACTGTATGACAAGCAAGAGTCTCCGTACAATAACTCTGGGTCCGTCGGGAATTGTTCCAAAGCCTTTGGAATTAATTGTAACTGACGTGGCTGGACCATTCGATCCATCTGCAAATGGAGCGGTATACATGGTGATGTTTCGAGATGCTGCAACTACTTATACTGAATTTGTCTGTGTCGCGAAGCGGGATCAGGTACCGAAGTCATTTTATGACTTTGTGGCAAAGATGGAACGTCTGACTGGTTTAAAGATCAAAGCTTTACGAAGTGATGGTGCTGGTGAGTATACATCGAAGGCTTTCAATGCCTGGTGTGCAACTAATGGTATTACAAATCATCAAACTAACAGATACGAACATCATCAGAATGGCATGGCAGAACGCTCAATTCGTACTATTTCTGACATTGGTAGAACACTTCTTCATGGAGCAAAGTTTGGATACAACATGTGGGCATATGCTAACACTACCGCCGCACATATCCATAACCAAATTCCGAATACGAAGACGGGCCTGAAGACTCCTTACGAACTGCTCTTTGGACGAAAACCACACCTTGATTATTTCAGAACCTTCGGAGAGCCTGCCGTTGTACACATACCCGGCGAAATTCGACGGAAACTAGAACCACGTGGTAAATTGATGTACATGGTAGGTTATCCATCTGGAAGGAAGGGTTGGAGCTTCTGGGATCCAGACTCGAAAAAGCCTGTAACAGTCGAGTCGTCTCTAGCACGTTTTATCTCTGATGGACCACCGTTACCAAAGGAAACAACAACGACTGAAGCCATGCCGATGACTACATTGACAACGCCACCACCGAAGATGACCAACACGTCGGCCAACCTACCACACCATGTTTTGCCAGTGAAAGATATATCCACGTTGAACAATATGCCCCGACCTATGTTACCAATCCCTGACGCAACGAATTCAAAAGGAAGCTTGATGCATGTAATTAACTCGCTCATGCTAGGGAATTTTGACGCGGAGGAGGCAATCAAGGAACAAGACGAGCTAGTACGACTAATTGAAAACCAGACGTTCCTGGGGAAAATTGTACCAAAATCTTTCTCCAAAGCTATGCGATTACCTGAGGCTGAAAAATGGTTAACTGCGTGCAAGAATGAGCTACAAACCTTCTCCGATATGGGAGTTTGGGTAGTGAGTGACCCGCCTGAAGGACAGAAGCTTACGGATGTAAAATGGGTTTTCGATGTGAAAATGGACGGACGTATGAAGGCTCGATTGGTGGCTAAGGGATATCACAAATACCTGGGACTGATTTTACCGAAACCTTTGCACCCACTGCAACTTTTGCTGCACTACGAATGATGCATGTCGTGGCGGCATATCGGGGTTTGAAAGTACGCAGTTTCGATATTGTAGCAGCGTATCTTAACAGTCCTATTGATCATGATGTCTGGGTAAAATCACCCCCGGGATTCAAACTTGGAAGAGCATTGAAGCTACTGAAGGCCCTTTATGGAACGAAACAAGGGGCGCGATGCTGGTGGAAATTCATGGATGAACGACTACGAGCTCTTGGTTTTGTACCAAGCCAATTTGATAGTAGTTTTTATATTCTGTGGAAGAACAATCAGCTTTGCATGATATGGCTACATGTCGATGATGGAGGAGTAACTGGTGATGATGTACTAGTCTTGGAGGTTGAGAAACACTTATCATCTCACATCAAGATCAAGTGGGAAGCTGATTTGAAAGATATAGTAGGAATACACATTGAGCGGCCTTCCAAACACAAATTCATAATGTCACAACCAGGTCTTGCGAAGAAAATCGTGTTCAACAATCTCGACTTAATAACATCTGCTATAACAACAACGCCTGTGCCGCCAGACCTGAAACTAATCACTTCTGATGGAACTCCGCAAGACAGCAACCGATATCTTTCTATAGTGGGAGCAGTTAGCTATCTAGCGGTCGGAACGCGACCAGATCTCTCTTTTCCAGTTAATTTTCTTGCCCGATTTTCAAAAAATCCTTCAGACGAGCACTGGAAGGCTATTAAACACCTACTGCGGTATGTACGGGACACGGTCAACTATGGATTACAAATTAATCCACGGGAGCAAACTTTCCGGAAGCCAATGGAAACTTTTGTCGACGCTAACTGGGGCGGTGAATTTGCGAGATCAACGTACGGACACGTTACCCGACTTTACGGTGTTCCCATCGCCTGGGTATCGCGTCGACAGGGCTGCGTGGCAACTTCGACGTGCCATGCCGAGTTCATGGCTATTGGGGCAGCATGTCGAGATACAGTATGGCTACACTCTCTGGCTAAGGACATCATTCCGGACTTGCCCTTACCCTTGATCCTTGGTGATAACAAGTCGTCAGTACATGTATCTACCGATAATGCTGCGAATAAACGAACCAGACATGCCGATTGAGAGTTTTATTATATCAACGAACAACTTTATAAGAAGAAAGTCGAACTTATTTGGATTCCTGGTAAAGAACAACTGGCGGATACTTTTACAAAAGCACTGGGTCCATTAAAATTTAAAGATGCGCGGAATAATCTTGGAGTCAGATAGCAAACCTCTTTTTCTATACACACAAAAGTGTAAGAAATAATCTCTGAAAATTGTCCTTTACCCTACAGTGTAATTAAAATCATTTTTTTTTCTCTCTCATCTTTGTGTTTATGTTTTCTCTCTTCATTCTTTTTCCTTTATCATATATGTTTAAAGTCATAAAAATTGTTCTCAGTTTTACTTATTTTTCTTTTTCTAGATATAGGCTTTGTCTTGTCGTGGGGGCCCCACACAAATCTTGCTGACGATATGGTAATTCAAAAAGAGATCAATGAGGAAAAATTGCTACTCGTTGTTACCGTCAATCCGTGAACCTTGCAGCCTATCGACGACAGGTTGTCCAATTTTAGCCGTTCCAATTTATTTGATTTGGGAATTTCTTGGGATTTGACTCTTGAATCCTGGGGCGATAACAGTTCACATCAATTGTGTAGGAAAATCCGTAAATAGTGAATAATTCTTTTCAAGTTTGAGTTAACAAATCATACTGTACGGTATAAGTCGCTACCCTAATCCTAAATTTCCGAATTATGTACAACCTTAGTACCAATCACTCAATTTCCACTTTCCATTTCTCGTCCAGTTTTCAGCCGAGAATTCAACTACCCTTAGAAAAAAGTCAAAATTGGTTGTTCCCCGAGTGCTTGAAAAATGGGTGAACCCTGTGGTCTCAATGAGCAACCTCATTTGTGGTACTTCACGGCAAGCTTTCTTTAAACAACGATTCTATTTTTTTGCCACTCCAGCTCGTGTCAATCTGCGCATGATCACCTGTTTCATTTAGGATCACGTTCCAGGCAGTAAAGGTCTAGGGTGGCGCAGAGACAAAGTCGGTTTAAAGAATCATGTAATCCCTTGGCACAAAATCAGTCAATGGAGACTAAATATTGCCATTAAATTCGCGGCAATTCCCAAATAGAGAGGAATCGCCCTATTTTTGTAACTGATGAATCTAAAGATGTCTATAAGCTTGATTTCTCGGGCGTGCAAGTAAGTAAAACAATTAAATGGGGCATATAAAATAAAGAGGAGCGAGTGATGGTTAACGCTTGCGATCGTTAAACCAATTTCATTCTCTGGCTTTTCTGTCTCTGTATAGTTCATTAATCTTCACTTGGAAAGCTAAGCTGCGGGAATGATTGTAGCGCAAATCAGAAAGTCGGTTCTTGGCTGACAAAGAAGCACCACTGTTTACTTACGGTTAGATCCGAAAACAATAGCGACGCCTGGTATATTAATCATTGAGCAGGAGTTCTGTTAGTTAATTCCTGAGAACAAAGACTAATGTAAGCACGAAAGCATGGTTGCTACTGCAACTGAAGGCAGTCTATCGGCTTACAGTTAGTTCAGAAAAGGTCCAGCAAGAAGTGCGATCACAATGTATGCCATGCTTCTTAAACATTGCTACCAAACGCGCCCAATCATCCTCCACCACATCCTTGTTGTTCGTGATAAAAAGAATGTTCTTGAAGGTCGCAGGCTTGTTCAGTGATTGCTCCCCAAGCGCCTCTAGTCCCTTACGCCAGTGACCTTGCGAATGCCAATAGCTGGTTACAAAAGTCTCCATGTTTTGGAAGATTTCGCACCGGAGCCAAGATAAACCTCTTCGGGTAGGAAGCGTATCGGCCGTTCGAATCACTTTTAGTTTCGGAAAAGTCTCATTTCGGATGGCGAAAGGGAGATGGCCAGGGATGGATTCAATGGCTAAGCTTTCAAGGGAACATTTTAGAGCTAAGATAATTGGAATAATTGCATCACGATCTACATGTACAAAAGCTTCCAAGTGTTTGATGCGTTTGCCTTGAATTTCGCACAATTGCCTGAGCGCGGTTGAGTTATTGCGGTTGCACGTAACTGACAGGTGTTCTAGATGAGGTAGTGCACCGGGATTTAGGTCCAGAGGCCTCATAAAGGACAGTCGGAGCGATAATGAAGAAAGCTGGCTAGTATTGTTCAGTAAGTCTCGTATGGACTCCGTGTGATCAATCTGATGTCCATGTGGATTGCCAGTTAAAATCAAGACTTTAAGGTTGACAGTGCGCTGAACAGTACTGATGAAGTCGGGGGGGAAACTG